TGTTTGTCTTTTGGATGGTGGCCATCCTTACTGGTGTGAGGTGATATCTCATTGTGGTTTTAATTTGCATTTCTCTGATGACTAGCGATGTGGAGCATCTTTTCATGTGTCTGTTGGCCATCTGAATTTCTTCTTTGGAGAACTGTCTGTTCAGCTCCTCTGCCCATTTTTTAATTGGATTATTTGCTTTGTGTTTGTTGAAGTGTGTGAGCTCTTTATATATTTTGGATGTCAACCCTTTATTGGATCTGTCATTTATGAATATATTCTCCTGTATTGTAGGATGCCTTTTTGTTCTATTGATGGTGTCCTTTGCCGTACAGAAGCTTTTCAGCTTGATATAGTCCCACTTGTCCATTTTTGCTTTTGTTTCCCTTGCCCAGGGAGATATGTTCATGAAGAAGTTGCTCATGTTTATGTCCTATGGTTTCTTATTTTTATAAGGTAATGAACTGTATTACTAGAAAGAAATACATTTGAAGAAAGCAACTGTATCTCAGTGATAGATATTGGGTACATGAAACAGTATATTGATTAATGTGTATTTGGAAAAGGCTAACTAATGAAATCCACATGTTGATATAAGAACCTATGTACAGATTAAGGATGTAAAGGCTTTTCATGCCTTTTTGTCTGTCGTCATGTTTAAAAATTCTTATTAGTGAATTAATGAATTCATCAATAAAAAACTAGAAGTGAATGAAGAAAAAGAGGGACAATATTGGATCGATGATGACTACTGGTGGCGTATGAGTCATTTACGATGAATACGTGTCTGGAACTCTGAGGTCCGACAGAGGAGAAATCTAGTCTGTTCCCATTGTTTGAAGGCATCCTGTGGACACATGTCAGGAATAGATGAGGATTTTGTTATTGACCTTAATGTTCATGCATTTTCATTCTACTATTATAATTGAATTGATGAGAGAATCTAAAATTCAATATATAAAAGAATAAAGATGGATGGAGTGAAGCATTGTCAAATTATAAAAGTATGTGATGAGGCAAGAAATACTATTAATATATTATGAGAATGTGAGGTTTAGTTAGAAATCAATGGTACATGATTGTCCCCTTTTGGATTAGGATCAATGGAGAGAATGTCTCAACTATTTCTATCACCTGCAATGCCCTGCATTCCTCAGAATGGACACCCCGGACTTCATGGTTTCTTCCTTGGTCAAGAGCCCTTGGGTGCATCTGAGTTTTAGGAGCCTGGAGACCAGTGTGAGTCATAATCAAAGCTCTTGTCTTGGTTTGGGTGGTTTGTGTAAGAGCATTGACTGCATGAATAAAAAGTATGAAATATAATCAGAAAAGGCCAACTGAGTCCTAGTGACAAATAAGGGATTGATAGGAAGCATTGTGTTGCTTAAAGCACTTATGGAAAGTGGGATAATTAATATCAGATGTATTGATGTGGACGATTCTAGATACATATTAGGGATAACAGTTCCTTCTTGGAGGTTGTTCTTTTTGTGAATCACACAGTTTTAAAACTAGTTAATGAATTAATCAATAAACAATGTAGAAAAGAGTGAAGAGAAAGTGGTCTTTCTGGATCGATGATGGTGACTGTGGTCTATGAGGCTTGGATGGTGAATAATATGTGTCTGGGACTCTGAAGGCCAGCCCAGAGGAAATGGGTCTTTCTCTTCACACATTTCTATTCTTTCTATAATTAGATCAGTGAGGAAATACATAAAAAATAAGGCTGAATTGTAGAAGCATTGTCCAATTTAAAAACTATGTGGGGAGGCAAGAAATATATTAATATAATTTGACATACTAAAGTCCAAAGAGAAATAAATGGTACATGACTGTAGCCTCTTTGGCTAAGAATGTGATACAGTCGGGATAAGTTATGTACGATGTTTATGTTCTGGGTGGGCACAAGTGTGAAGTTGTTCGTTTTCATAAAAGACAATGAAATAAGTGTGCTCCAATCATGGGTGCCTAAGTGCCTGCTTAAAGAAAGATGTAAAGCAAGGATTAATGGAGGGATGTCTTATTTTATCGTCATCTGCTCTGCTTGTCCTCTGCAGATGGACACACTCACGCTGATCACACATTCTCTCAAGGTCACCCACTCTGGTTGCATATCTGTTGTAGGAGCAGAGACCAATGTGAGTAATAGTCACACTTCTTATCTTAGTTAGTTTGAGTGGTTTGTGTAAGGCCATTCACTATATTATTCAAAATCATTAAATATAATCAAAGAAGCAAAATATGACAATGTTGAATATCAGATTGATAGGAGATTATGTTGACTGATCCGTAGATGCACCACTGATGTCTGTTGATGAGAGGGATTAGTCTCTGTCATATTGTAAAGAGAGATGTTAGGAATGTTGAGGGATCATATTCTTATTAATTTACGTGTGTATTTCTCCAATAATGAATTAATCAAGTAAGTAAGTGTTTATGAGAATGAAATGAAGGGGGCCCAGTCACAGACCAACAATGATGAGTGGTGGTATGTAGTTACATACAATTTAATAATACATGTCTGGAACTTAGGTCTGACACAAAAATAATTAGTCCATTTCTCATGTGCATGGAGACCCTAAGTACAGATGCCAGTAATAAGTAAGGATTTTGTTCTTGGTCTTTGTGTTCATGAATTTTAATAATTTATAAATGTATTAGTGGTAGAATAAATGTACAAATGAATAATGGTGAAGAGATTGAAATACCATTCTTTGGTAAATTTGTAGTAAGGTAAAAGTATCAATAAATGAGAATGGATGTAAAAGGACCAAGTGTATAACATCTGTGGCTAAGGTGGATACAGACAATGACATGTGCTTGTCTGTTATTGTCTGAATCAGTTGCAAGTTTGAAGTTTATTTTTAAGATGAAAATAAATATTTCCCTAAGTTAATACATGTCCAAATGATTGTATTTCAATTATATGACTCAGTGCAGAGAAAGACTCAACCTTTTTATCACCTTCTCTGTCTGCTATTCTTCAGAACAGATGTTTCAGCTGATCTCATCTATTCTGATCAAGATCGTCATGTTCCCTTTGTGTTAGAAAAGAGACCAAGGTGAGTAATGATGAAAAATTTTGTCTTTGGGTCATTTGTTTAAGTGTATCAGTGGTATTAGTAAGAAAACAATAAATATAATTTAAAAACTTAACTATGGCCCAATGATAAATACGATGTTAAACACATTGATTAAGTTAACATGTAACACAGATTAATTAATGAAAGAAATACAACCTATGTTTTAAATGATTCTATAGTAGAAACTAGGGATATTCAAGTATCTTGCTCTTAAGTTTTTGTAAATCACATTCTTATTTTACTATTTTCAATGAATTAATGGTTTAATCCATGCAAGTGTAGAAACGAATGGAGAAAAACGGGCCTCTAATGGACCAATGATGACAACTGGTAATGGATGTCACGGACGATGAATAATACTTGTCTGGATATCTGAGGTCCATTACAGTAAATAATCCATTCCTTCTGTTGTATCTGATCCTATAGACAGATGTTAGGATACAAAGATCACATTTTTATTTTGAGTTTATAGATTTAGATTTGTTATTCTTAATAGATCAATGATAGAACCATTAAAGAAATACAAACAATAGATAAAAAAGGGTGAAGCATCAACTATGAACACATATTGTGAAGCAAGAAATACTAATATAATTGAAAGTGCTAATGTACATTAATAAATAAATGAAACAAAGGTGTTACCTCCTTGGCTAAGGGTTATAGGACGAGGTAACTAAGAATCACTGTATTTTTTCTGGCTCATTTTCAAGTTTCAGGTCATTCCTTTGATTAAAAGAAAAATATATTTACATCATGAAAAATGTATAAGTACTGAAATGAGTGAGTAAATGAAATGTGGAAAGCAAAGACTAGTGGAGGGAAGGTCTTAACTTTTTTCATCATTGACTGCTTGTTCTTAGAGTGGACCACGCCTTGTCCCTGGTGTCGATGTCCATGGCTGCATCTGTGTACTAGGGGCACAAAGACCAATGTGAGTAATAGTCAAATGTCTCGTCTTGGTTTTAGTGATTTTTTTTTTATAAAAGAGTCAGTGTATTTTTAAAAAGTGTCATATAGAGTCAAAGGTCACCACTATAGCCAGTGATAATTATTGAATTAATTAATATGAAACATTGTATTGATTACTACATGCATGAAATGTAAGATAAGTAATGAAACAGATACACTGATGTAACAGTGATTCTCTGTAGAGATTAGGGATATCATGACTCTTGGGTTTCTGCAAATAGCAGGATTTTGAAGTATTATTAGTGACCTGGTCAATAAGCAACGTAGAAATGAATGAAGTAAAAGAGGGCCGATATTGGATCAGTGATGACTGCTGGTGTCAAGTGAGTCATGTACGATGAATACGTGTCTGGAACTCTGAGGTCCAGCGTAAAAGAAATGGAGTTAATTCCCATTGTTTGGTGGGACCCTATATACATATGCCGGGAATATTTGAGGATCTTGTTTTTAGTTGTGTTCCTACATTTTTATTCTATTATTATATTTGGAAAAATGAGAGGATCTATAAATACATCTATATAATCTTGTTTTGGTCTTTATGTTCATATATATTCTCTTTGTATTTTTATAATTGGATCAATGAAATAATAAGTAAATATAAAGGCTGTGAAATATTGTCCAATTATAAAAATACGTGGTTAGGCAAGAAATACTATTAACATATTTGAAAGCAAATATCTATTAGGAAATATATGCTATAAAGATATCCAATGAATGAGGGTGATATAGATACTGACAAATAACAGTTCATATTGTCTTAATAGTTACAAGATTGATATGGCTTGTTTCATAAAGAAAAAATATACATGATCTCATAAAATAAAAATTATACATGATCTCAATTCATTGCTTCTATGAATGACTAAGTGAAAGGTGGAATGCAAGGGAAAATAAACATTATACCTCCACCTGTTTTATCCTGTTCTGTCTTGTACTCGTTAGAATGGTCAGACTCAGTTCATTTAAGGGTTCCACCACGGTCACGAGCTCTTATCTGGAGAGCAATGTGAATAATAGTCAAAGTTCTTTTCTTGTTTTGTGGTTTTTTAAAAGGTTTTCACTGAATGAATAAAAGTTTGATGTAAAATGAATGATCACAACCACAGCTAAGTAGTAAATTTAGGGGGTGATATGGAGCATTGTATTAATCTGCACAGGAAACATTGAGGTTAATTAATGAGAGATACATATCAGGAGAAAGGATTCTATAGACAAATTTTGGAGATATTTAAGGACCTTGTTTCAAGTTTTTCTGATCTCTTGACATTTATTGATTGTTATAAGCTAACTGATGAATTAATCAATGAAAACATGTACACATTTGGGAACATAAGGAGTGCCAGACCTGAACTGATGATTATTGGTCATGTATGAGTCCTGGATGATGAATACTATTGGTCTGAAACTCTGAGGTCCAACGTGGAAAAGAATTCATCTATTTCCTCTGTTGGAATTGTTTCTATAGAGATGTCAGCACTGTACAAAGATGGCATTCTTGTATTGATTTCACAGATCTAAATTTGTTGTTATTAAT